AGGGTCTGGATGGATGGATGGATGGATGGATGGATGGATGGATGGATGGATAAATTCACAATGACTTTAAGCCTCAGTCTTTTTAGAAAATGATGCCAAGTGTTGCAACCTGAACGGAGCTGCACTAGATGGCGCCATGCCCAAGAAAGATTCTGCTCCATCGTGACAAAAACTTCAAAAGAACTCACGCAGACCTTACCTTTGCCTTTTGCATGAAATGAAATATCTGACTGTGTCGCTTTTGTTTCTTTGCTTATAAATAGACTCTGGTTCGAGATGAACAGCAGACGAAACCAAAAAGGCAGTGCGTAAAATGCGCGCACATCCTGTCTGTCTCAAAATCCTATAAATGATCTCCAGGTTCTGATGGTTTCCCACCGACCAGGTGGTCCTGAACGTGGAAATCTGGAACGAGCTGGAGGACAAATGCTTTTTTTATTTTTATTTTATTTTAGGTTTTTTCTGCGTCTTGGTTAGCCGTAGCGGTGGTGAACAGTGTGTGTGTGTGTGTGTGTGTGTGTGTGTGTGTGTGTGTGTGTGTGGGTGTGTATGTGTGTGCGTGCGCGCTCTCCCTCTCCTCGGCGCACACAGCCGCCCCGCGCTCCAGTCTGCTGACACAACAGGACAGTCCGCTCCAGCTCCGAGTCCCGGACTACATGTGGATCAGAACCCGAGAGGCGCAGATCCATCAGCCCATGCGGATAGTTTAGCGCCACATCGGCCCCCTCCTGCATGACCACGGGTAAGTGGATGTCGCTTTCTTTTCTTTTCTTCATTCGTGTGTTTGGAAACGCACCGTGATCTCCAACTTGAATCGCGCACTGATGTCGCCTGCAGAGACTCGTCGTTTTCATGCAGCTCAACTCTCAGCCCGTTGTGTGCTCGTGTAAACACCGTCTCCTGATTATTGAGTTTGACGCAATCACACGAGAAGAATGTGCGCCACGCTGGCCCCGTGCGCGTCAGGAGACTTCGGACAGGGACAATCGCTCTGTTGTGCGCGTGCACTAGTTTCATGGTGATAAAGTGGACCCCCTGCTGATGACAGGCCGGTCCTGAACGCAGAGACTGTTCTCAACAAGTCCCGGGTACAGTGGGGGCGCGCGCTCGGTGCTGAGGCAGCGGCTCTGTGTGACAGCACCATTATTCACCAACGCGCCTAATTGCACCAGCGTTCCTCTGACTTGATGACGACAAGAGGGTTCATGCACGCGCAGGTACATGCCTTTTGGTTGCACCTGCTCCTTTTTTTTTTTTTATCATCAGGTTAAAAAAATCTGAGGGGACATTTGCTGGATATGTTGTAGCGCCGCTAATCCAGGCAATAATGTACTGTAATTGGCAATGTCTGTTAGCAAAATATCTAATTAGCTAAAGATGAGATTTTAATGACACTCCCAGGAAGTGATCATTGGATGCACATCTACAGTTGATTAATACTTGAAGTCAGCTTGATTCAAGATGGCCGCCACAGCTAATCAACATCAGAAGGCACAAAAATGCATGCCTTGGTAAATAATGGTAAAAAATGGTAAGCTTTGTTTAAAATGTTCTCCTTCACTGTTGCATAATTTCTCTCTATCTGTTAACAAAACATCTTATGAATCATGCAGGCTTTAGTGAAACTCGAAAATAGTTATTAATTTATGTAAATCTAAAACTCATAACCATTTGCAGTCAGGCTGTTTCAATATGGCCACCACCGCTATTTGACATTAGTAAACACAAAAATGGCTCCAACTCATTCGTTGTTTGAGATATTGAACTTGAGTTTGGTGTGGTAGTCACCGAGAGTCATCCCCATCACATGCATTACAACACATTACATTAATTATTAGTTTAAATGTGTAAGACATCAGACAAAATGCATTCCTTCAAATATATATATATATTTAATTTTAGCACTACCCATTCTCACAAAAGCTTTGTTACAAGTTGTTAAAATAAAAATGAAAAAATGTCCCATTTTATTTTTACATTTTCACTTTATTTCTTTTTTACAGTAAAAGACCTGAGAGTAGAGTTGTGGTTCTCAGCAGTTTAAGCAAATACAAACAGGAAACAATTAGAGAGCAACACATTTAGGGGTTCAGTTGGACGTAATGGACTCCATGGCAGTTTCACCAAAGCAGGAGAACATAAATCAGATTTATTTTCCTGAGCTCACAGCAGAGATCAATAAAAAACAAGAATGTTTCCGTGGTCATGTGGTTAAGAGGGCATCTACTTGAGTGCAAACACGCCTCTTAGCCTATTCCTGTAGGCTGAACAGAACAAACAATTTGGCTGATGTGAGCCAGAACTCTTATTTTAGAGGAGATCCTGGAGGGAATACAATGCCAGGCCTTCATGCATCGCTGTTTCTCTGTCCAGATTCAATTCCTTAATGCACTCTGAAAGTCGGAGATCTAATAAGAAGTGGAAGAACATCTTCAATAATGAAAGCCCACCTGCATCTCTGCTGCAGAGCGAGGGCTGGGGCTGAGAGGCTTCATAAATAACAGAAGCCAGACCCTGACACGTGCTGCTCCATCGTCTGGGAACTGCCAATAATCCCTCTCATCTAGTAACTTGCTGCTGTTGCAAAGTGAAATGAGAAAGGGGAGGTGGGTGTAGTTTATATTTCAGTCAACATATACTGTATATATGTAGCCCAGTGCAGATTTGTCCCTCAGCTGAGAAAGAGATTGGAAATGTGAAATCGCCTTTTATAGTTGGATCATTTTGACAGATATCCAACATTTTGTTCCTGATTTCCAACGCCAGCAGAAAAACCACCAGACGTCTGAACGTAGCCACGATGCCGAGCGGCACCTTTCATGAAGCAAAATGTCATTGTCGTTTTAAATCCAGACGTTATTCTCTGTTGTTGTTGCTGGAGTGTTGTTGTGACACAAATTAATTTCCTCAACAGGATTGGAGTTTAATCCCTCATAGCTATTAGCCTGCGTTCGAGCAATTAACTTGTGCGTGTTGCTATCTAATAACTCCAGGCTCTCGAGGCTCATCCGCACCTTCCTCGGCTTTATTGGTTTTGCTTCGGGGTTCACTTCACTCTTGTTTTACCACGAGCACTTGTTGGTTTCCAGCTTCTGCGAGGATAAACAATGTGTGTGTGTGTTCAGTTCTCTAAGAAGGGAACTTTTCTTCTGAAAAATAATGTGACCCGCGCCCAAAGACCAACCCCGTCGCGAACAGAGCTTCGGGCTGTCCTCGGCCATAAAAAGGCAGCACTGTGTTGACGCTCCGCATGGCGGGGCCTCGTGACTCTCCCGTTGTGTCTCACATTGAGTCCCATGAGTGTGATTTGTTTGGTTCAGAAATGATCAGCAAAGAAACGCTCTCATTCGGCCTGTTCCGTACAGAGACCGAACGAGGAGAGTGCATGATAACTTCATCCCTTCACGAGTAAGTCCTGTACATCAAGCAAGCTGAAAGACTGCCTTGGTGATATTAATCCGCTTTGCTCTGTCGTGCACTAAATGGAGTCGTGTCTTTTTTCCTTCTCTCGCTTTCATTTAGCCATCTGCATCTGTGAATGTGTTTCTGTTGCAGGAAAGAAGCTTTTTATCCCCCTTCAGCTGGCAAGGGCCTGAAATATTTAACAGGGACTGCACTATTTTTGGGTTTGTGCTCAGCTTGTTGTGGAGCTTATGTAATATGTAGTTTCAGCTCACGGTAATGTTTTATACCAAGCAACATGCCATCCACTCTGCCCACTTAAGCGTAATAATGCTTGAAATAGTAGCAGTCTGCTGCCCAATAAAGGACATTGTTCAGCTGGGATTTGTGATTAAAACAGGAGAAAGGACTCCAACGCCATCTGTTCATTGACAAATGTAATCGCCTCGTTGAATACTGTATCTTATATGTCAAGGAGGCAGAGCCAGACCTGATTGTCTCAAGTTTCTTGCTCCTAATAGATATCGATCCGCTCGTCCATCCCTCCTGATTTGCCTCTCGATTCTCTCCCTACTTGCCCTCCTCCTTCCCATCCGAGGTGTCGGATTCTCTGACTCATACCCTGGTGTGGAGGAAGGGAGAAGAGAGCAGGATGAAAGAGAGGAGAGAAAAGTCATTTTGCAGATATGGAGTGTGACCTTCATCTAGTAAAGAGGGATGGGATAAAAGCTGGAGTTAATACCCTGCCAAAGTGTATTCTCCACTGTGGAAGAAACACACTCCGAGAATGATATATGACCCTAACAGAGCCGCCCTGATAATAAGAGGCTAGGCAAAGCAAATAGTCAGAAATTTCCAAGAGTTGAACCCAGAGGAGCAAACACTGGAAGTCACAATACGATTGAAGCATCCAGCGGAGACAATCTGTCTCTCTTTGCTGACAAATTAGACTAAGTTATAAAAGCCTGTTTGCTTTCCACAAACTCCTATAAAAACAGTAAATACAGGCTAAGAAGGTGTCACCATGTCTGGAACCAGCAGAGAGATAAGAAGTGACCCAGAAATACAGTTCCTTATCTGTGTGCTAAAGCTGTTTTCATTCCTGCCGGCAATAATAGGCAGGAGGAAATAATTCAGTTTTACCTAATGAGAGAATGGGACAACATCAAGACCTGATCATTGCTCTTTAACGGGTATGGGCTTATTAATAGGCATTAAGAGAAAGTTAAGTAAAGCTGTCCGGTCCTGATGACCTGCTATTGACTGTCTTCATAAACTGGACCAATTACGCTGCTGTTCATTAGGGCTGGGCTCTGTCAGAGACGAGGACATGGACCTGCTGGAAGTGACTTTAACTCACTGTGACAAGAAGATGACTTGTCACTGTTGACTCGTACCACTTGACCTATGATGGATTTTGCAAATGAAGCCATTTCTAAAGTCGTTGCATCACATAAAGTGGCTCTAACTCTAAAGATTGCTTTTTATTGTGAGGAAGAAGTGCTGTTGAGTGTGAATTGTTTGGCTGTCGATGTTTTAGTTGCAAAGTGTTCAAGATGAGACCTTCATTTATTATTAAGCCATTTAGTTTTCTCTCTGGGCTTTTAAACTAAAGGTTAGCTGGTATCGTTTCATGTTGGTCCACATATATTTGGACAATAATGAATTGGAGTTATTTTGCATGTCTATCAAAATTAAATAGTTACAACGCTGTAATAAATATTGGCTTTAAATGTCACTTTTTTATTCAGGAGGTTTAACGTGAAATTTTGAGATTTTTTAAAGCTTTTGTTCTTTATGGGGCTCAAATGTAGTTAAATAAAATGGCATACTTCTATAAAGTGTTGATTTTCCTATACAATATTCTGACTTTTTTCATAGGCGATTACAAAGACAACATGCACAGTACTCTGAGTTTGTTGTTGCAGTTTGTAAACTGGTATTTTCTGCGCATTTTCATTCAACTTTATTTATACAGGCTAGTCTCATTGAGTCACGAGGACTCATTTACAAGAGAGACCTGTTTTAGACAGACAACAAATAAAGCACAGACAACAATAATTCAGCAAATAGCAACTAAAATCAAATTAAAGTCATAAACACAGTCAAATCAAGACAAAACAATGTAAAATACTAAAAACAAGAACATATTTGCTTTGATATTTCTATTGACATTATCAAATATTAGTGTCATTTCTCACACCAAAACACTGTTTTTGGTGTGAGAAATTATTTTGAACGCTTTCTGATGTGGATATTTTTAAAACTGTTTCTAGTGGAGCCGTGTGAACGGGAGAAACAGAGGTTTGCAGAAACAATAAGCTAATATCGTACTTTGCT